AAAGCCATGCTGATTAGTATGTACAAGAGGGGTACGAAGTAACATCAAGACACTGCACTAAGCTAATTTTCGAGTTTTTCTTTTTCCACATTAACGAACTGAGTTCAAATTCACACAGTGCCGACAGTTTGCTCGTTAGTTATGTATTAAGAATCAACCAAAATCGCGAATCAATAATCATCCCATCAGGCTACAGGCAATTTACTCATAAACGTTAGGTCACAAATCAATGAACACAAGCTGTTAAGTTGGTTGACGGATTGCTTGTCAAGGGTTTGAGGCACAAGTAACTCATTGGAATGCTGGAATCGACACATAAGTGAGTCTGTACATCGCCCTAGTGGTCGCCCCCTGCAACAAGAAAAACAAGGCAGTTCACGTAGTTCGATTACTTCACAGCAACTTTTGGGCCAGTTTTACACGGTTAAGGCGAAATCCGCCCGGGGCATCTGCAAGTATAGCAAAATTGACGAAGTGTCTACCTTTGAGTGGGTTTTCCATCCCCACTGATTAAAAGGCTCGTGCCTAAATTGTTGCTTGTATCAGCTCACATATATGTTTACATAGATCAACATAAACGTTCACTGGTAATCCACTTATCGTCAGTTTTGTTTTCCCGTAATTCTGGCTGCCACAAGTTTTGAACCAAACCGACGCACTATAACCTGCTAAAAATATACTGGAACAGGATACTTACGTGCGTACAAAAGACAAATACAGAAGGGTACATATCTGAAGAAAGAACCTAGCTTCTCACAACCGTCAACTAATATCCATATCTTATTCGTCTTTCATCCTGAAGAAACAAGTTGGCGGGTTAATTTTCTACTACAGTGAAACTGAAACTTTTCCCACAATACCTAGGAATTTGTGCAAGATAGATCTATATTATGGAGTTTTTTTCGCTTGATATGTGTGTCGGTCTTCGTCAGAGATTTCATCGCAGAGTTTTACAAAATATAACCAGCCGCACTTTGCCGGGTCAAGGAATCTTCTTTCGTGCTATTCACAAGCAATGATCAACGCCGCTTGGAGCGGTACGGTGTAAACAACTAGGTGAGAAGTAGTTATAGAAGAAGTATTTCATTGTACTTGAAACTGACTTGATGGAAGCATTTGTTTTTGAATAGATGGACCAAAGTCTTCCCATGCTTTGGTAATCGCTTTTCACCCATAAATTGTAAGGTCATGCTCCTGGACATGCAATCACTGAACACGCTACTTACAACCCAGGAAGAGGTACTCGAAGTTTTGGGGCGTTTGACAAACCTTGGATTTTGTGTTGGACTTGGTTGTGGTGACAGACTAGATCAACGCACGAATTCGCAAGGTTTGGATCGCGCTTGCTAATATGCGACACCTATGGCGTCAGAGTGTCTATCAAGCTACTGTGAGGGCTGTTTCGTTGTGTGGCTGTGACACTTGGCCCGTTCGAGCAGCGGAACTGAGACGTCATCAGGTGTTCAACAACCGTTGTCTCAGAACCGGAGCTTTTGTGAGTTGGTGTCGGCAAATCCGTAACGAGACAGTTAGAAAGCGAGTTTTCGGTTGTGCAATGGTGACTTCCATCGAGGAATGTTCCAAGCATCAGAATCTTCATTGGCTAGGCCATGTATTACGTGTGCCAAACCATTGTTTGACAAAGAGTGCTGTTTTCCGTGCCCAATTCAGAATGGCGAATTCACAGAGTTATATGAAAGGGTTTACGAAACCTTTTGGTGCTCTCCGTGCTGATCACCTTCTAGGATAGGGATCACTGTACCCTCGTTGGAAACGCTCCAAGATGGCCGTTGGCTGATGTCAGTGGCGTTCTCATGGTCAGCTTCTAGGTAGATTGTCCGAAGTAGTGTCTGGAGGTGTAGATATGTCGGAATGGTTGTAGTAGATTAGCATCAAGTCCCATCGTCCACTTTTATTCTCTTTTTCAAAATAGGGCTTTTGAATAAATCATGGTCGTACGGTAGCAAAGCATCAGCGCTGAACGCCGATGTCGAGCTGTCGATGTTGCTGAGGAGGCAGATCAATAAAGGCCACAAGTCGGGACTCCAGCATCGACCAGATTACGACGGCAGGGGATGCCAAGCTCAAAGGTCACGTTGGCATCGGTGAAAGGGGACACAGGACAACGAAGCTGCCAGTGGAACCGCCCGACCGAACAACTAATCGCGATCAAAGGTCATCCCCTGCTAGCAGCACGTATATCAACACACGCGCAAGACTACTCAACGCACAACTACTAACCCACTGCTACGCACCACTACGCCCCCCAATAATGCACTGATGATGTCATCTCCATTGGTGATGAAACGTTTGCAATCCAACTGGAGAACAAGCAACGACCACGAAGCATATTTGTCGCTTTTGATAAGCGGGCTTTTATTAGACATGAGAGGCCGAAATTCTACAACAGAATCTCACAGAAGCAAGTCTATTGAGTGGAAGAAAGGTCATTATTGTAATCAGGTGCCTCCAGCTAATTCCATCATCGCTTTCTGGTGTTTCATCGATATTTGCTGAGGAAATGGGTTTTCAATCTAAGCGTGAGCATGTGCTTCTCATATAATCCATCATGGGGCTATCAGCATTGTAAACTAAACAGCTCGAGTACTTTTACCATCAAGTACGTCACGAGGACCCTATTAAAACTATTATAGTTCTGCGGGCATAAACTGTGTTTGAACAACAATCGCTGAGGCATCATCTTTAACACGTCTTTTGGTAGTGAGAAAAACAATGCATGATGATGGTGAACAGCTAACTTTTTCATCATTTGTTGCCTCCAAACCCAGGAATTGCCACTGAGTCGTTCAAACTTTAGTCTAACACACAGCAGGATATTTCATGCACTGTGAAATTTTGCAAATTTATAACATTACCCGAACCACTTGCGTTGTAAGGCGTGCATACTATCGCTGCCTTTCTGTGTTGAAACTTCGCCATATCAGACAAATCGATCCATATATCGTCAATGGATTTATTGGGCTGGTGCCTCCAACGCGTGGCTTTCATTTCTTTATTCTCCTCATCCTCGGTGAGCGAAGCATTTCGCTGCATAGATTGTGACCGGGAAAACTGAACTGACTGATAAGCTTGTCGTTGTTTCTATGTCCACCCGTCCACAGAAGCGGACTATAACGTTGCGCAACCATCTGCAATTGCGACGACACGGCGTAATTTCACCAAAACATACCACAATCATCCAAAACTCGACTCACTGATTCTGAATATGATTTGCACCTATATTCTGCTTCTAAAGAGATAAATATTACTTTTTGAACTACACTTAACCAGGCTGTCGCACTGATATGTGGATAAAAGTTTTGATCAGTTACTGGTAAAAATAATTGGTTCTGAAGATCAGTTGGCTGGACGCCTTGAAATCAACGCCTTTGGTTGTTCAAGACAAAGTCAGTTCTTTCTTGGTGCTTAACTTGTCGAACCACCAAGTTATCCGGGGATTTCCTTGAATGCATAGAATTCTGTTCGGAGAAAGTTGAACCATCCTATCGTGCTAAGTGAATAAACAATCACGTGTCAGCGGATGCTGCATGGATAGAAATAGAGGCGAGTATTTTGTGAGGAGGAAGAATTGTAAAGTTCAGTCCTGCGTGATCACTGATAGATGTTCTATTTTTTACAGGAGTATACTGTGTTACAGAACAGTTAGAATCAGAACACATGAGTTTGTAATTTACCACCTTCTAGTGCTTAAACATCAAAACTGACCTCATTTGGACAATAATTTTAAAGAAAATTACAGAAAATCCCATGTAGTTTCACAGAAAGCATGAGCGGACCCCACTGTAGCGACTTGTGTTTCCTCGTTCCTAGGAAGAAGACAAAGCTTCTACCTGAAGTGTTCGAAGCATTTGTAAAACGATATCCGCCCTGTTGGTTAGACAAACGAGTTCCATGAATACTATGAAACACGCAGAAGACTACTTACTGCATTCGCCAAAAGTAGTCTTCAGGTATCACCCAGGATTATGACGCACATAACATATATCTCTAAAATATAGAGATAGATAGATAGATAGATAGATGATAGATAGATAGATAGATAGATAGATAGATAGATAGATAGATAGATAGATAGATAGATAGATAGATAGATAGATAGATAGGATAGAAGAATGATAGATATGTTGTTAGATATATAGTTGGATAGATAGATAAATAGATATACATTTAGATGGATGGATAGTTAGATACATAGATAGATAGATAGATAGATAGAAAGATAGATAGATAGATAGATAGATAAACATATTTCTAAAATGGAGATATCGCAATCCAATAGCGTCTGCGAAATGGCAGCGGTCACTAATATTAATAAAAATGCTAGGACGATTGGGAATATAAGCATTGATTTTGCGTTATTCATTGGTCAAGAACTCTCTTTTAGCAGGGTTTTCGGAAATCGCGAGCAAAATTGGTAACTGTATCCGATTGTAACGAGGAATCTCTTTTGTGTATTTTGCATTTATACGTGTTTTTCTTGTTATTTCTGAAATGCACTTGAGTATACTACTGCGCCCAGTACAAGAATATTACCGAGTTTCAAAACTAGAATGTATTTACATTTCACAGAATTATGTGGCCAAGTTGGGAAGTTATTTTCCAGTATTTTCTCTTCCGATTGAAGTTTTTTGCAGCTTTTTGTTTTCGCAACAACAAGGACATTTCCGTAGAAATCAATGAAGCAGATATTTCAAATAGTTGGAAACTTAAGTGTGTCTTCTCGTTTCAGGTTACCGTACTGGCAGTTTGGACAGCAGGTGAAGAATAATCGATAGACTTCTCACTTCTCTGAGACAGGCAAAACAATTCACTGCTGCAATCGAGGCGTATAGTAAGAACAGTTCCTTCTCCCATCTAACCAATGGATATGCTTGCCTTCAAACCTCCGTACTTGCCCGCCCACGCATTCATTTTGAGTTACATAAATTATGTAGCTTCCTAGTTGTAAGCGCTCCCAAACGTGACCCTTTGCAGCGGAAGGACAATGTTCCTTTTTGGATTGATTTTCACTTTAGCCTGCGTACGTGCCCAACACAGGGCCTATGAGAGTATCCTCTCACCGCTAGCCGTTAACCGATTGGTAAGTGTTTCGTTGAAGCTCTTTTATTATATTTTTCATCTTTAACACAATAACGGACTGCAATTTAAAAGCACAGCCACGACTCGTGAAAAGATGAAGGTGACTAACCACAATCAGTGGCTCTGTTTCTTCAAGGTTTGTTAGCTTGTACTGCAGGACGATCCTCCACAAAGGAAAGGGATCTAATGCCACTGTGTTTAAATCAAGCCGTTAAAAATCAAATATTCAAATCATGAGGGTTTAAAAGAGAACTTCACAAGTCATTCTTTTCCTTTGTATACTCGATGACTGATCGATCAGCGTGGCCAGAAAATCGCTCAAGCCTCGTACTAGTCATATCCTACTGACTAAGTTGAGAGAGGTTTATTTATGTACTATATTGGTTATTCAGTTTGTTCTTAGTTGTTCCTTAGTGAGTAAGTAGGTCTAATTTTAATCGACTTGATCGGGTAGTTGCTGAGCTAGTTAGTCACGTACGAAATTGGTCCCTGTGTAAATAATTAAGCTAGTTCTTTGGCTGGTGAATTTGGCAGGCGGAGATAGACAGGAAGACCTACAGGTAGGTAAACGGGAGAAGAATGGCAGAAAAATAGTAGTTAGATGGCTGATAGGCTGCTGAAACGAACGAATGAATTAATGAATCAATGAGTCAGCGAATCAGTAAATGAATAAATGGATGGATGAACAGATGGATAGGCTGACATTTTTGCTCTGATGTGGGGGACAGGATGATATGTCTAAACATCTCGGACGCAATATAACCTACTTATTCGTCCGTTCTGAATGCATGGGTCTCACAAGTTTAAAATGAATTTCCTATTACAGTAAATCTACTACGACTCTGTGACGTTTGATGCCAATTTACCAAGAGCCATAGGGCAGAATTTCATCGCATTTAAGCTAATAATCTACACTGGGCACGAAGTCGTGTCTATTCCCAGTGCTTGTTTTTAGCTCAAAGACAATTCGGTTAACATCCCAGTAAACAGCTTTTTTGATAGCCTTGTTATATTACCGACTATTTGTTATGTTCCCTTCTATTCTTAGTGTGGAATGGATGAAGAACCGTGTCTGATGGATCTCAATTGTTGTCCTGAGTATGAATGTTATGACCGCCGTGAGTCATACATGTATCTTGCATTTACCGTGCACCACAAAAATGCTTCTAACGACAATAAACAGCTTTAACATTTGCGAACTACACTCATTTGCAAGCATTTGTTTCAAATAGTTCTAAGCGGTGATGAAGCTTCGACATTTTGGTGAGGAATTTGTCCTGTAAGTAAAGCCAATCTGCGCTGAAAAGCCGCGAAGCACTGTAAAGCCGTTTCATCCCTATTAGGGTTTATCAGCAGTGCCCATCTGGCGAAACTCCAGAGAGTCTCGAACCCGCGACTTCCTGGTTGGTAGTTGGACCACTCAACCGTTCGGCCACTAGTGGCTGATCAGCAGTGTGATTAACTCGCACTTAGACAGGATAAAGCGCCTATCAGCCTTCAGTCACGGGATTCACATCATGTGGTCACACGTGTCGACTGGCTTCTCGAGCAACGACTTCTCAGACGGAAGTTTCACTCACCAAGTGAAGTTTACTCTTCCACTGGGCTACTCATAGATTGTTACTTCTCCACCAAACTTTCCCAAATCCTCTCACACCACCAACAGTCCCCACCTCATTTGAATTTTCGAATAAACCACTCATTCGTTTTTAGGGTAAAACGTCTAAGATACCGTTCATTAACCGAAACAAAATGCGGGTATAATTATGGACAATAATTCAAACCTTCGTTTCAGAAGGGATTGGTAAGCAATCGGCAGCCTTTAAGTTGGCAACGTTTCGCTTTTGACACAAAAGCTTCATCAGGCCAGGTGAGCAGGTCATCAATTTGACCAGGCAGGCGTGGAATCAATCAGTAAGTCCTCTTCAGATTATCATACTAGATCAATGTTGAGTGTCAGTTAACGGCTCTTGTCGGTTGGTGTGGTTGCCAATATCTTGAATTGACGGGTTGGAGGAGTTTCAAATAATTTTTGATCGGCCCTGGTTCCTTAGCCTTTTACATCATGGTGCTTTGATTCTTGATTCATTTCGGGTGCCACTAGAAGATATTACTTGGCCTTCCGGGGCTTGTGAGTGTTGCAACAATTTAGTTGGGGGGAGAAGAGATGAGCAAGGTTAAGTGGAATCCATTTGATGACTACTAATCGCACACTAACGCGTGTTAGTTGGACTGAGCCAAGATCGTTCTCCATACGCTTGCCAGCGCCACGCATTCTACTCGATTAAAACTGGGACGCTTGACGATATCTACCGCCTCGGCAATCAGTCTCTGTGACGTGGACCGTAGTCCTCGCATCAAACCCTCAACATTTTCTAAATCCGTTTTGTGTTCCGTGCCCAGTGCGTGTTCCGCAACTGCCGAGTCCTCCAGTAACGTTCGATATTCATCCGCGTTTCTCAGCAGCCGGTTTATATTTCCTCTATGCTCTCCGATTCCAGTGTGAACTTCCCTGGCCATCTGTCCTACATAGACCTTTGTGCAATCGTTGCGCTTAATTCTATGGACAGAGACCCGGTTCCGTTTTCCGGGAGACAATCGTTTAACTGCATCAGTGCAGAGCGCAGTTATTCACTTCTGGAAGGCTACTCTTATGTTATCCATGTATGGAATTCTCCAAATGACCTGCGATATCTCTGGTTTATATGGAATAACACCAGTCCCAGTTGGGTTTCGCTACGGGTGAAACAAAGAAGACCTTCGCTGCGGAGCTATTTATTACGAAACAACCAACTAAACAGCTACAGACTGTTGGGCAGGGAAGCAAAACTCTCATGTACATCTTGTTTATAAAAACTGAATATCCCTCTTCTTCAGCGCGTTCTCCTGAACTTTCCTGGATATTCATTGACTGTTACGCAAATGCAAGCAAATGCTACAAAGCGACTCGACGGATTCCGTAATAGACCTTACTTTTCAAGAGACGTGAGGCGGATTTACGAAAAGACACTACTCGCATGTCTCATCATTAGTATCCACCGTTACACACCTTTCCCTTTAAAGGTCCCTCGCATGCCACCGATTTTCATTCACTTCCGTTCGGTCGGCTCCAGCAGCTGGTCTGTTCAACCGCTCCTTGTGTATCATGCCACTTACGAAGTAGCGTCATATTCACTTTTCGATCCCTGGCCGTCTTGAATTGTATAGACGTTCCCTCGGCGGTCGATGACGACAAACGGACCTTGCCATCGACTGCCCTACTTCCGCGACCCCAGTCCACTCCTTCCAGGATTCTGATGATCCTTCCACTTGACCTTCGCGCCGGTGGGGAATGGTCGTGCCTTTCTGCTTGCCGTTTTCTCTCTAATCCTCTCCTGAAACGGCGGTCAAGTTTTCTCGAGCTTTCCTCCTTTCCCCTACTAGTTCCTCGGGAGATGAGCGTGTTGCCGGCCACAACCCAATTTCCTGATCAATTGGGAAGTGCGGATGTCGACCGTACATCAGCATGAACAGGGACTTGCCTGTGGTTGTTTGTCTGTAAGCACGATGAGCTAGCAGCACCATCGGTGGGTTCACTTCACAGTCACCTCCTTTGGCCACCAGCCACTTCTTGACCGTTCGGTTGAACCATTTATTTGTGGGTGGTATGCTGTCGTCCTTAGCCGTCTGATGCCCAGCTTCTGCTTCTCCTAAACCATTCGCTCTCAAAACAAGGGTCATGATCGGTTAGGATCATTTTTGGCACTCCATGGTTGGTCACGATGTGATGCATCACCCCTCCGCTGATCGTCGTCGCCCATTGATTTGGCACGGCTGTCGCCTCGACCCACCACGACAGGTGTTCTGTCATTATCACGATATACTGATTTCCGCCGGTCATCACCGGAAAGGGGCCCATGACGTCAACGGACCATAACTCGCCAATTTCTGAGACAGGAGTAGGGTACATGGGATGAGTTGCTCCTGTCGCATTCCTTTTCATCAGTTGGCACCACTTACAGGACACTGCATAGTCCCTCACCTCACTTCTCATCCCGGGCCTGTAGGCCCTCTGCCGAAGTAAGTCATACTTCATGGTGCATACTGTGTGTGCCATCTTGTGGTATTTGACTATCAGTTTCTGTCTCAAGACGCGTGGTATCACGGACAGCATAACATCAGAATCGGTGGCGTTCCAGGAAATCATGCCATCTTCATACAGACTCAGTCGATCGACGTGACTCTGGAACGTTTTCAATTCCTTGTCTCCCTCTCCGTTCTCAATGCTCCTTCCATCCAACAAGGCGGCCACAACCTTCCGCAACGCAGGATCCTGCCGTTGGAGTCGCACCAAGCTTACGGGATCCAGTTCGACGATGTGGCTATTGGCCCCAATAATGATCCTGGGGACCTCATCTTCAGCCTCTGTTCTTGACAGCCAATCAGCCAAGTGGTTCTCCTTCCCTGGTACATGCCGGATCGTGAATTCGTACTTCTGCAACCGGGGTGCGGTTTGTGATTGGTTTCGACGAACTCTATCCAAGCAAGTATAGCCTCCACTTATTCAGGGCCCAGACGATCGCTAAACATTCCTTCTCAATGGTCGAGTACTTCTGCTCAACGTTAGTTAGGACACGACTGGCATATTCGATAACTCTGCTTTACGACTGCGCCGATACCGCGATCACTAGCGTCCGTTGCGACAGTGAACATCTCTCCGACCCTGAGCAGTTTGAGGGTCAGTTACTGATCCAGCATCCGCGCTTTGACACGTTTGAAAGCCTCATGTGCTTCTCTTGACTCGACGAATTCCGTAATAGACCTTACTTTTCAAGAAACGTGCGGCGGATGCGACCTCATCAGTACATCGGTACCAACACCCTTCGCAATTGACGCCTAATCAAGCTAGCTGTATATCCACTACCCCGAAGTTTGTCCTTTACTTCACTGTGGGCCGCTGTCAGATTAGCTTCTTCTGTACACTGGCCCCTTACGCGCCTAAACATTGGTGAGGAGATACTGGCGAATGCTAACCTCGGATGAGCAGACGGGTAGCTCAAAACTATCCCAGTTTCGGTTGACCTCTCATATACTGTGGTCCTTAGTTCCCCTCCCCCGACCTTATTTGTCATGCAGTCCAAAAAGGCCAGCGTATCCGAGGTTGACTCCTTCTGCATAAAAAAACTTGATGTGTGGACTCAGTTTACTCAGATAGTTGCAAAACGCACTTTCGTCACAACGAAAGTGTCACCTTGGTGGGTATGGGAAGCCGGCTAAAGCTTTCTGTTCAAATTCTTCCATAAATATATTTTCCAAAACGGGATATATTGAAGATTCCATTGCTAGACCTTGATCTTGGGCGTAAACCAGTGAGTCAAAAAAGAAGTGGATGAAGTGGAATGCTTTTGTAATTCCCACTATTTGATCTACCGTAAGTCTTTACAAAGTCTCTCTACTATCGGTCTCACATGAACATCTGGTTTTGGATTTTTGGTAGGACGTAAAGCCGTGGTCGGATTGCATTTTTGGAGTACAATCTATGCCAACTGCCTTGTCCTAAGTGGTTTACCACAGTCCAATAATACCTGCCAACTTCAGCTTTGCTCCTATTCATTACAGAAATAATATTCGCATTATGGATCTCCCGGTAAGGACCCTCAGCTAGGTGTCTCTTGACCTTCTGCAGGTAATCACTCGTGTTCATGGCAAAAGTGACCCTACCCAAATCCACCTCAGTAATCGCTATGTTGCCCACCTGTTTCAGTGGTTTCAACGCTCTTCTCTCTGTTGGTGTATTACTTGGAGCTCACGGCTGCTGGAACTTCAGGAATGTGACTAGCTGTACCTGTAGCTTCTCCACCTTCGTTGCCGGGAATTTTCGAAACAAAGATTCAACGCTATGAATTCTTCCTTCCGCCCTTATCACCCTTTTTTACTGCAAAATCCAAGCCTCCTCTAACAGAGAACGCTGTTTCCCACTTAGCGATCTATTTGATAAATTTACCACGCTACAATAGCTAGTAGATTGTTCAGGCTTAGTCATGGGCTCACTAGAATGCAGTCTTAGAAAGTAAATTTTCGAACTTGCGCATTTTTCTCTCTTTGCAGTGTTGTCCTTGGATGGCTTTCACTTCTATCGCTTTGGTTTGGAGTAACTGGAGGTCTGCGGGAGACAGTACGGTCTGAAGATCTTGGTTGAGCCGACTTGCGTGGTGATGGATACCAAATAAACGCCGAGTAGTCAAGTAGATTCTCTCTTTGAGGAATGACTTGGCTGCTGAGAATGTTATTCGGGCAGAATCGTGGTGATGATACCAAATAAACGCCGAGTAGTCAAGTAGATTCTCTCTTTGAGGAATGACTTGGCTGCTGAGAATGTTATTCGGGCAGAATCGAGTGACGTGTCTAGTGGCTTAACCAGTAAATATGTGGGGATTATGTTCTGCTTCGAGCATTTTTTATTGAATATGCGGTGGTTCTCCCCGTTTGCCTTGCCAATCGGACGCAGTCAAATTTGCGTTCACGTTCAGATTTGCGAACACACGGTTCGTAGTTGTCTTCAATCAATTTGAAGAGGTTTTGTGCCAAAGAGAAACGTTGCTCAGTTAAAAATTGTTGACTGTTTACCATGTTCCTCTGAAACGATGAATTCATACGAGTTTTCCCAGTGTTTTAGGAAGACATTCTGACAGGAAGTTCAGCTATTTAGTTTTCATAGATGTTGACTGGATATGATTGCTATCAAATCGTTCGGATTTGTCTGGAATAATAAACATCTTATTAAAGACTAAGCAAACGGTAGTTGTCATAAGTTGCATACCATTTTCCATTTCATTGGTACAAAGTATTGTAATCTTTTGGATGCCTTGCTACAACGGCTTCTACCTGTGGATGAGTCCCTCCATGGAAGGTAGGAATTTGTCTCATAACTTATAAGGTTGGTGAAAAATATTCGATAGCCAACGAATGGATGTACCCCTCTGAGATTTCTTGAGGTAGGCATAGTCCCGAGGTCCATAAACTTTAAGATCCATCGGGATAACAAAGTGTAAGCAATTGGCAAAGTGCACCCTGTTGGATGCATACATTATACGTTATACATTATGTATACAGTATACACAGCCAAATTCTATTTCGAACTCTTGCGTGTTATATTCTTTTAAGGTAGACAGAAACTCCGGATGTGCTCTTACCTGACGAAAATCAAAAGTGTGGGTTGACAAAATCTTCGGCAACCTCCTAAGTAACATGCCTGGCAATTCACCTCGTTCATAGGCACTGTTTCGTTCTTGATACATGACTTGACTTTCTCCAGAGAGGAATATTCGTGACATTCCTACATGAGTAGAATCAAGAATACACGCTTCCTAGGACTGGAGTGACCTCCCACTATATGGAACATCCACCTGCTCTGAAATCTTCCGGGTGACATTTCTTTTGAGAAACCATTTCGATGAAGCACAATGAGCTTTGCTCGCCGAATATCTGAGAAGAATAACCGCTTCTTTATACATGGAATTCAACGCTGCATTTTAGAGCTGAAGTATTGTTTTATTTAGGACACTCAGTATGATTAGAAATCGTTGAGTCTCAGAACACTGATGAAAGTGCTTCTCCGGATGGTCCATTTTTTAATATATTTGCAGTAAAATGTTATGAAGAAAGTGCCCACTACACACTTTCCCACATCTTTTCAGCTGCGTTAATTAGCCCTTAGGACTGACCCAGCTGCCTGATCTTGGACACACTAAACAGAGTTCTTATGGCTTTTGATCACGCTGCAGTTTGTAGAGAGGCAAATTGTAGGGATCCACATTGTCAACTTCCACAATGACGACTTGTTTAAATATGCAACAGTCAAGGGCTGAACGCATAAAGATTATACTGGAGCCTGATTTATTTAGTGATTTAAGTAGAGTTGCACTGGGTGAAGTATGCTACTCTTCTTGCTATCTTTTATGGTGAACGCTCCAGTACTATCCCCTGATGCTGCCAACAACGATGTTGGTGATGATTGGGGATATCGTAAGGTATTTCGGAACGATTTACATGAAAATTTTATGGTCGTACTAGTATCTGTATAGATGAACACAGTTTTTCTGAACTCTGAAATTCTCAGAAGTGAGACGCGTTTAGACTTACCAGAAGCGTGATGTACGCCGCAATTCTGGCGGTAATTCAAACGAATGATTCAAATGGTTGGTCGCAATAAGAAGAAGTGGAAAGCTAATTCATTCATTCCAACTCTTCGTAAACGGCTGCCTTGTTAAGGATGTTTTCGGATCCAAAACAACGGTTAGAAGGACATCTGGTAAGTGTTTTGATGTGTGAACTTCATTGTGGCAGTATTCATAAAAACGTCCAGAAATAGGTCACATTGCAAACAGGACACTGCATATCCAAAGAAAGATAGGTTATTAGGTTTCCTTAAAGTTTATTGAAATAAGGATTCTCCAATTGACTGAAAAGGGTTTTCTTAGTTTTATCGTCAAATATTGGTTCACCAGCCGAGGCTGACATTCTGTTTGGAGCCTTTTACTAATCATCATAGTTAATGTCGTCGTTGCCAGCCCAACGGATCACTAACCACCACCCACTGTCTTCTCACAAGTTGACGAAACGCTTCAACCAAAAAACTCACTGTGGCGAAGTGATCAATAATGGAAGGTTGTGATGTCAGTTGCTTCACTTTTATGTATCAACCAAGGATTCTTTTTGACTCATGGAGTACAAAGCACAATTTTGATGTGACTAACCCATATATCTTTATCGACGTCTATAAATTTGGGACACGGATTTTTTTTACATATTCTGTTTCTACTAATTCCGCTTTCTTTCGGAACTGATTGCTAGATCTTACCAATGTAACTAAACATTCCGAAAAGCACAAGGTGTTCACTGGACACACAGGTTGAATTGCACCCCAAGTAAAACAGTAACAGAAATTAGGTCTTCTGTAACTACTAACGGCCGATTTTCCAGCCTTATCAACTTGCTTAAATGTTTGTTCACCTGTTTGCTGAGATCAGCACTCAGACTCAATCAAACCGCTTGGTAAAAAAGCGGCCGAATTCACCAACCAACAAGGTGCCCCTCTTGATATCAAGTTGTTATCCACAGTTTCTTCATTATCAGCAATCCTGATTGAGATGAGGTGGAATATAGTCAATCATATTGGTCCTTTAGAAAAGTGACGCTAATTTGAAGGTTTTGCGAATGCAGACGTGGAGTAAATGGATGTTACTAAAATCAATTGTTTAACGTATATATGTGACTCAAACCGTGAAGACAGTAAGTTATTAAGGGGACAGTGTCATTCCTTCGCAGTAAACGAATTTTACTACAGAAGGATTGCTTCGTCTTCTTAGGCTTCTTGAAAGTCAAGTTAAAATTAGATTTGATGATGGTTTATGTGGTAATGTCACATTTGATTTCGTTCACTAGTTGAAGCGGCTAGCTAGCATGCTAGCTACCTTGTATCTATCTCGTTCTATCCTGTATTACCTTATAGCTAACAAACTTACGGAAGCCACTTCTCACATTTCACTTCTTCGGTTTTTCATTCAACAGGTGAATGTCGATTGCGTGACGTTGGCCCGATTTCGGAAGAACAAATTGGAAAGCGATGCATCACAAACTATCAGTGTACTTTGGGGCTATGCTGCCGCGCCGGTCGCTGTGTGAAAGAATGTGGGCGAATTGAAGAGATACCCGACCGGCATTGGAACCGATGGCAGCGTGGATATGGCCCAAGATGAAATAGCTCCATGTTGGTTGGATAATATGCAGCAGTCCTCTCTCTGCTAATGACTGCTGTTGACTTGGTTGTGACTCTTCTTCGGTTGTGCGGATGAAATATTTACTGTTACCATGTGTTATTTTACAGGTAATTCTCAGAATTATTATATTCAGCATATCCACCTAGTTTGGCTTCTTTTGGCTTTTATAAAATCTTCATTTCTTAAGATAATTGAAAGGAGGATCGAAGTCATCTAGATATACTCCGATTTAGACTCAACCTGTGTTGGAAAATGCAAGCGAGTTATTAACGTTTTTCTGGTTGATTTGCACGGATTTGAAAAGTTCTTTTCGGATATTGCTTATGGTTAAGTTCCCAGAATGGCTCAAAAATACCTCTTCTCCTTTTTTAAATTATTCGTTGTGCCATTGTATAGATTAGTTACCAATAAGGATGGACTGCTGGCATTGACCGGTTAGGCTTATATTGCACTGGAATGCTAAATGGTTTGACTTTTTAATCACACCAATAGATGTAGTAAGACAAACGTTGAAGGCTTTTTAGGCTTTAACTGTGATGATATCTTTGGCCCGGCTAATATACCACTTGTCTGGATTACGGAGGCCACCTGTCGTACTTTGATCTATTATTGATCTACAATAAGGAGCTCTTATAAAGGACTATTAGCTGAGTGGATTTGCGTGCGGAAGCACGAATAGTCTTAGATAAAACATGTGATGTGCTACGACTGAGTAGTGCGAACTTATCATCAGATTCTACAATCCATGTATGGTTTCGAACGTCTTCCAAGTTGGTTTTGACCCTGTGTGGTGGTATATCATTGAAGCTCCAGTTACACAGAATTCAACGTGACAATTTAATAGTTTTTGCATACTATAGCGTCAGAACTAATTTCATTTTTTCATCCTAGACACGAAACTCAGTGTTGTATTCATAGTATGGTAATTTTTGTATTCGTCATCAACAGCAGAGTCAATATATGTGTCAGGTCTGACTCGCTCGGTTACATGATACATGCTAACTCTGAAAACTGAGGTGCCACCATGGGAGCAATATCTATGCCACCCATCAAGCCAGAAGACTATGAATTTGCTTGACTATCCTATTGATCAGATGTTAAATGAAGTCAACAGCCTTTTGTGAAACGCTATTGTAATGAGTGGCTTTGAAGTCTAATGGATATGAAGAACGAATGCCACTGAAGAAATTCTCACCACCCCAGTGATCCGAGTAAATACATTGATAGTAAGTCAATAATGTGGTTCGATTTACTTCAGTTGATGGTATCTAACTGAATTAAAACCATGGATTAACGGAAATTATTAATAAACTTAAGAAAAAATTGGAAGCAGTGTGTCAGGAGATGTTCGGGAGTAGCGACGTCTAATCTGTAAATTGGTCATGACAATATTAGCATCGCCAACGTGCTACTTGCGAAGCAACAGTAGGCAAGACAACAAGTTTGCTGCAAAGAGGAACAACACATGAAACCTGCCAACGCTATTTCGGTTTCTTGAGAGTCGTTTATAGTATGCGAAGACGAAGGGTCCTTTTGGCCATTAAGTTCACCCCAAATGAGACACCGGACGCATGAAGTGCGACTTTTTAAGTCCCGCCATTTAAAGACTGTTTTTCTCGTACTTAAACACAGAAGAGGACCACGCAGTCTCCAGCGATCCTGGCAGAATAAAGGATGTATTTTCGTCTGTATTCCTCATAAGGTGTAATAACAGTTAGACAAACTTACGTCCGATGTAGAAAAGTGAGTTGTGGCCCTAAGTGATCCCTAATCGGATACAATGCGCTCTTTTAAGTCGCTCGATTTCCGAGGGTCTAATTTGGAGCCGTGATGATGCGCCACAGGGAATACTGTTGTAAAACAGGATGTACACAACGGCCGAAAAAAGTTCCCGTAGAACGAACTGCTACTCACCAACTTTCCATCCGAAATCTTAAGACTTACGTCTTAACTGAATCCACGGTATATTTGAACTTTAATTTGACATTAATGAACAGTCGTGCAGCACCATAACAGGGACCTCGAGTATTATTTGGGCGAAAAAACTCAGTAGCAGTCAGAGAAAAATTTAACAGTCATCATTTTTATTTTAAAAAAATATCACCACTTTCATCTTTTCAATCCTGAAAACTCACTGCACCGAATCAGAAAACGATTAGACGGCCTTCATCGCTCCAGAATGGAGTAAGTGTTAATAACATGGTAGGGCGTAGTGGACGATATCCAAATGAAACGTCAGCTTTACAGTCTGCCACATGTGCAAATGAGCTAAAGAAAGGCAAGTAATCACCTCGCCGCCCCCATTTTTCTCATTATGGATCAAAATAAAAGCATCCGGAAAGCACTATGTTTTATACTGGAGGTGCCAGACTAACTTAAACAAAGATCCTTTTCGGTCGAATGACTGATCTCAACGTAGTCACTACAGCTCCTTGAAGGATGTACAAATGATACTGCAGCTATGTTCGGAGCGTTTTTCGGACACTCCGTTATGTAGTAAACGGCGGAGACTATGCGTTCATTACCACGCTGACACTGTAACCAAAGTTTCGGTTAGACTATAGCTTACATTATAAGGTATTCCGGGTTAGGAATAACCATTCCGGTAGTCCGTTCCTGCGAACTCGAAAGATCAACCCGGGGACGATTCCACACTGAATACCTGAGGCAGTCGTTGGCTTGAGAGATTCATGATAAGTAGCGCAATCTAACTTCGTCGACAGGAACTGGCGAATTCCAAACAGGTTTTGATTGTCAATGAGTGCTGGGAAGTTAGTTTTCTAGACTAGCGTCTGTCACGAAGAGACTGGACCTTACCGTGGTGTGACGGTTTGCGCACCTCAGCGATCCATTGAGCTATACTGGAGAGTGTCCCGAGACACTCACAGAGTCTCTCATCCCAGGTTGGTCAATGGTTAGAGGTCTGACGAACACAGTCTCGTGGCCCTCCAGGTTGGGGGTTGGAACATGTGGCGACTTGTTCCGTAGAAATGGTAATGCATTTGCATTTCCCGCCAAACACCGCTGCCTTGCGGTTAGGCTTTTGAGCCAAAGGCTTTGGTTGAGGACACTAATCGTCCTTCTGTCTAGGTGTGGGCGCCCTGACAGTATCCCAGCCCTCGTACAACCATGAACTACAGACTAGCGTAACTTACTGAACAGTTTGATGCCGTGATGATTACGTTGCCAATACCAAATTCCAGACATTTCTGTATGGGTATACCAGACATAAAATATTGTTTGCACCTGAGTCACTTGATAATGCAACCTAATGGGCTATCTGCTACAGCTAGTTCAACGTCGGGACGGCAACTGGAAATCGAACGACCATTTATGACATGGTGTTATATGGGATAATTCGATATATGCAATACGTCTTGTCCTTTAACTTGCCCGTTTCCTTCCAAAGCTTTTCTGAATGAATCGATTAATTTCAGCCATAACGTTTTATTTAATCAGTTATGTACAACTAAATTCATAGCAAGTTCACTACAAGATAGCGATAGGTTTTGGGTAGGCGAAACTACAGACGGCCGTGAGTGACATCCAAGTTCGGATTACTATACTATTACCACATACATTACGATATCACTGCTACCACATTAACACTACATATATTACCATATTACTATTAATATTCAAGCAGAACCACAACTGACTTGTCAGCCCTGCTATGGTCAAGAAAGTCTTCCTTCTTATTTATGACTTTTGGACAGATTGATAATGTAGCTCCATGTAGCTGTTGAGCCAGTAAACAGTGATGGGGGTTACGGAGGAATTAATTTGCAAACAAAAAACGATAGGGATTCAAGCCTTACAAGGGGTAAGGTCGATAGTGGTCTGGTTGAGGGTTATCATTGGCCACATATGTAGGTGCGTTTCATGAAATAGCCGAGCATTTTTCCAGTCTAGAGCCCGAAACCTTTTCTTGCATGAATTAAGATCAGGAAAGTTGCTAGTGATAGAGCATAAAAGCATTAACGGTGAATGGTTCCGTGTGATCTGTTAGGAGCTAAAAGTAGATAATTAATACTTCAAATTTAGGTGTTAATGCACTTGCCCTTATATGAGATAACTGAAGAGAAAACTAAGGAATATGGCTTTATTTCGCTATTTTTCTGTTCATTTGTCGTTTTATGGTCGTACTGGTAAAGTAATAGTGTCAAACTTTCTTGCAAAACTAACGTTGTAATTATTTACCAGTAATAGTGGCATTGCAGAATGCTACAATAAACACTGTATGCTTCGCAAGACACCCCTCCTGTGATCTGTTGGCGATTTGTTACATAGTAAGTTGAGTAAATATTACACTGCATCACAGTTCCCATCCGCTGTCTTTAAAACGAACGCAAACAACTGATGAGGCGAAGTAAAATTATTGAAACCACCCATTTCCTGAATATCAATCAAATTGTACTCATTCTAGTTCGTCACCATATCTGTGGATTCGATTTACAATAAATTGCATATGCTGAGCTTCCTGTTCAATGCGCTAATGTTTGATCTGTTCTAGAACCATGGGGGGGGGTACTTGAATACATTAATAAATTATTTTGGGAGATGGAAAATTACGTCACCATTATCTGTCACACTAAATGCTTCGAATTAGGCCTGGTGAGTGATATCAACGGATGCACGTGACTGATATTTCTTACAACCTTTATATTTTTGGTAAATATTATCGGCTCCACGAGGGTAATACCATCGAAACAAAAATTTTTCCTGGTTTTTCTCAAGTTCTCTTGTAAACAAGAAGTTTGGTCCAGTTTTCAGATGCACAGTGCCGTATTTTCTTCCTTCTTTGAGTTGTTGCATGGATGGAGGTTTCTTAAGAGTTGGAATTATTGTATACCGGACCTCTAGATGGTTTCCTGTTTGTTATGTTGCTACTCTGAGACCCGTTCCATAGTCCTATGTAGATTGCCCGTGCTTCAAAATTTTTGCATCAACGTGAATTTATTAGCGGTTCAATTACTGACTTCACCTGACCTAACCGAAGTTACTTCGATTCAAATACGTGAATACCATAATAAAGTGAAGCAGGCTTACCGAGATTTCACATCAAAAAACGTCTATCCAAAGTTGCAATGTAGTAAAGGTGATCACCTTCTCATGGACAATCGTCTAGGCTTTTGAAAGCGAA